TTTAATCTCACTTGTTAACGCAGTCTCAAACTGAAAAATGAAATCTGAACAGCTACAAACAGGTTTCACAGACATCGATCATTCTATCAGTCCCACAAGCACAAGTTTCATTTGTTCATTCAGTTTATTTCTGTATCACGTGACTTTGCATCCAGTTTATTCCTAACACAGATTATGCATCGGGCTGAAGAAAAGGAAAACCCCTTAGACACACCGCTAGTCCATGAATCAGGTAACACACATACAGACAAACATATACATGAGCTGTCCCATCTGAGGGACCAATGCTTAAATCATGTGTAGCCTTCGGTCTGCTGCGCCTCCTATGTCTGCAGAGGAGTCACAATAGATGTACTTTAACACATAAGTATCAAGGGGCCTTGATGAGTTTCCTGTGCTTCATGTCTGAGGGGGCACACTACAGCTTTAGATTTATAAAGCCGACTCTTCTCTTTTTACAGATGTTGGCATGATCCCAAATCTTCAGTGACCAGGACACCTTGCAGCTAGAACTCAAATATTCTGGTGTTCCATGGTGATTAAAACAAATAATCTGTTATAATCTGTTCAGTTACATTCCACTTCATTAGTGCACAGGTAGACAGAAATGTATCAGTTAATACTGAGTCCTCACTGCCAGCTTTGTCGCGGTGGCTCATTTTCAACCAACACAAGTCCCAAACAGAAGTGGTCGGACAGGAATTGCCAGACAGCTTTGAAGGAGGCATGCTAGGACAGGACCAGCCTGAGCTCCACCTCTACAGCGCCCTGAGGGAGCTTGTCCAATGAGAAAAACACGCCGTCTGCTTCAGCTGGCCAGAATACACAGCTGCTCTGTCTTTATGTAACTTGTATTTGCAGGATACACTCTAAGGCACACACCTGAGGAATGTTCTGCATGCAGTCACCCAAACAACCCCCACAATGCAATGCTGTGTTGTTCCCTTCGCTCCCTGATAGCAGCCTCATCTTCTTATGGTGTGTTATCTTATGGTGTGGGGGATTAAGCCACATACACCTCAGAGCGTTACTGCCTTTGTAGTAGTCTGTAAATGGTCAGACAGGAATCCCAGAATAATGCACATGTATATATCTGCAACGTTGTTCTTCTATTCCATATTTATATATTTCTACATTTATTTATGTCCGCTGTATGTTTGTCTACGTGTAGCACCTTATCACCACAGCAAATTCCTCGTATGCGTAAAACACTACTTAGCAATAAAGCTCCTTCTGATTCTGATTCTGATTCTGAAATAGCAGCAGAGCATTTGGCCTGGCACTGCATTGGCCAATTACATATGTGCTAGCTCACATTCTAGGGGGATCTATTGACTGAAATGCAACATAATATCCATAAGTCCATTTTCAGTGGTATATAAAGACCTTATGTTTAGGTAGATTTATTTTGTCCCAATATAACAGATTAGTGAAATTGAGTTTAAAACTCCCTTCTGCTATGTAGCAGACAATATACATTAATGTAGAAGCAATTATAAAAACAGAACAGAAATAAACTATTATCAATGGAGCAGTGCTGAGGATGAATTAGAGTTTAAGAGTCTGACAGCTTGGGGGAAAAAGCTGCTCTGCAGCAGAAACTTGTATATCTCTTCCCAGAAGGCAGCAGGGTGAACAGGCTGTGGCTGGGTGGGTACTGTCCTTTAGTATCATTTGGGCTCTGTAGGCACCTCACCGATATCACTGATGCTTGGAAGATGGGTACCAATGATCTTCTGAGCAGGTTTAATCACCCGCTGCAGAGCCCTCCGGTCCTGGGCCCTGTACATCCCAGTTTCCAGTCAGGATGCTTTCTATTGCTCCTCTGTAAAAGCTGACAAGAAGTTGGCGTGGGAGTTTAGCCTTCTTAAGCTTCCTCAAGAAATACAGTCGTATCTGAGTTTTCTTCACCAGCGTGGAGATGTGAGCTGACCATGTCAGGTTCTCCTGAAACTGTTCAACTGCTCCACCTCAGCACCACACTAGACAGGAGTGTGTGTCTTTATCTACAAACACAAGTAACCTAGGATTCTGGGAGCTCAGTGCTCTGGTGGGGTAGTAAGGTAGTGCCCCAGCACAAACACAGATATCATGTACTTTAGAGACCTCCAAATAAATACTGGTAAAACACATCCAAAAATCTAGTTTCTAATAAAAAAGACCCAGTCCAAAAGGGACCTGAGGATAATCAGCCCAGATCCAAATTGAGCCGGACTGACCCAATCAGAGGGAGAACGCTTGCAGCAGCAGGAGAGTTCACCAATCAACAGCCTCAGGCCATAAGAGCAGCTAAAGAAGAAAATCATAAACATAATGCCACGACTCACTGGAATAGAAAATAAAACAAGATACATTCAAGCAGATCCCCACAGTGTGGCAGCCCGGCGGTGCACCCAGTGTCCAGCATGGACCGGAAGCACCGAATGTTGTGATATGAGTGACATGACCAGCGGCACATCGTTCCTCAGGAGATTTCCTGAACAGTAAATGTGTCAAAGCAAGTTGGAAACAGCATTGTGTCAAAGATAGTTCATCTAAAGACGTGTTTACAGCGTGTACTGTTCTGTTCTGAACATCATGAACATCACTTTCAGGCGATTCTTGAAACATGCTGAAGTAATCTGACATTTTGGGAAATAATCTCAGGTCAGCATTCAGTACAGAGCTGGAGATAGCTTAGCTCAGCATGAAGAATGGAAGCTCAAAAATATACGACCAGCCCAGGATGCAACTGCCACTCTCACGCTAACTTTGATTCAAAGGCTTTGTCATGGTGGTTTATATTTACCCTCCTTTATGAGATTTTATGTCTCTATTTTTATTTCTCTCCAATATAATTCTAGCTCTAGTCTTTCAGATGCATTACAGTTTTTCTCAAACACATTTCTTGAAATTATTCCTCTTTTTCTCAAAACACAAATCCACAAGTTCTCACCCAGTTCCCCAAACTTCCAATTTTCAGGTCAAAATGAAGCTCTCCACTCAAAACCATTCAATCTTGCTGAAAAACCAAACTTTGCCCTCAGGCATAACACACAAGCCCTCAAAAACACACACTACAGTCTGACTCACTGGTGAAATAAATTCAAAACAATACTACAAAAACAGGTTATAAGTAATGTTACTTGTGGTTCTCCCCCTCAAAAACCTTTTCACATGATTAACACAACAAAAAGAAATAACCTTTTTTATTTTTTAGTGTGCTGCTCAGTACTACAAATTATTCCGTCCCAGTGTCTTGTCTTTGGTCTGGGACGGGTCAGGAATTCTCGTCCTTCTCCACCTATGCCTTCTACCTCTACCTCCTCCTCCTCCCCCTCCTCATCTTCCACCAGTCCCATCTCCTCTAACTTCTGATTGGTGTGTGATCAGTTATGACTGTGTTTCCACCTGTGTAGCTGTGTGCTAACTGAGCTCAAGCTATGCTGACTTGAGTGAACAATAATGAGTGTTAGTGCTTTCTCAATGACCACATGGTGTAGGCAATGAGAAATGAAGTCATTTATGTGAAGAGTTTCGGGAAATGGGTGAAAAATGGACTTATGGTTTTAAAATTTTAGTTCAAAAGCTTTAACTGTCCGTGTAGAACAACCTCTGTGACAGGATGGATTGGTGTGCACAAATGATCACTGTTAAAATTATTAATGTTCCTATTACACACTGTAGTTTGTTAATATTAGCTACCAGGTTCAAGGCAGGACAGTGCCCAATCAGTTAGCTAACAAGCAGCACCCTAACCCTGGCAAGATGTCAAAGCCACACTGAGTATATTTGCTCAGTCTGTCTCCACTGCAGGTGTGTGTGTGTGTGTTGTGCACACACTTGGTACATGCACCAGTACATGCACTGGACTTTGCACAGAACGAGAACAAGAGAAGAACTGAATGTTCTGTAAAGTAAAGAAAAGTCATAATGATAAACAGTCAAGAGAGATAAGAGAGAGCTGTCAGTGTGTGTGTGCTTCACGCTGATGCTGAGGGGAAACCAGGCGAACTTTCCAACTTCTATAAAGCTTTACTCAGCAGATTCACACTCAGCTAACCTACATCACATCATCTCATCTTTATTCAGCTCTGACAAACAGCTCAGCGCTGGGCCACTGCAGCGCTGCTGATGTGATTCATGAGGATCTGAGGAAACACGGCCTTGATCTGTTTGTCAGCAGCAATCCATGTACTGGTCTGTGATTATCATTACCTCCCACCAAAACATGCTTTCTTACTGGTACATAAACCTCGCTGCAGAGAAGTCCCACAGCGTCCTTACACTATGCACTACGAGGATACGGCTTTCTTAAGGATGTTACTGAATCTTGATGCACATTATCAACATAATGGTGTCCACCTCGGACATCATGTGACGCTACTAAATTAATGTCTGTGTAAGATCTTTTCGAGTCAAGATAAAAACTGTACTCCAAGCACCCTGCTTGGTTTACTCAAGCAGCTCCCGTCAGCCTCTGGCAGAGAAAGCACCTCACTTTCTCTAACATCCAGATACTGGGTTTGCTGATGGTTCTGTAGTTTCTGTAGGATTCTTGTGTAGTTCAGGAGACATTAACAACATAACCCAAAAACAATACCTGATCAAAAATAATACGTTCATAACATTAAACCCATTCTGGTGGAAGTCCTAATTTAAGGTTGTTGCCATCAATCCATCCTGCTCTGATTAGACTGAGGCTCCAGTTCCCATGGCGGTCATAACTAACACCATGAAGTCAGTCAGTTTATATCAGTCAACCAGAGCTAGCCAACACCCTTCACTAAGCCACAGTGATGCAACCAAGGAACAAGTTCAAACATCAGCTAACCCTGCTTCTGCAATGAGGAGGAGTCTCCGAGCGATGGTTCTGTGGCTCGGTACAGCTGGAACACTGAACCCATTTGTTTCCCATGAGCACTCTTTTCTGTTCTCCAGTACCCGCAGCATCCCCTGCATGAAATGCAATTACACACAGCTCCCAGCACCCACTCTCCCTCCACCGGGATGTTCCTGACCTTAAAGGCAAACTTGCGGGTGATGTTATCCGAGGGCTCCACTCCTCCAACTCGGAAACTGAGCAGCGGCAAACTCCCTAACACCGTGTCCTCCTTCTCATCTGTGAAGAGGAAAGATTAAAGTGTGAAAACATTCCAGGAATGAGACAAACAGAACAACATACGGGTGCATGGCTTCAACAACTGTGTGAGAGAAACAACAGTCATAGCCTTCATTCAACCTGCAGGAGAAAAGATAGAGAGGAGTCAGAGCCGCCGTCCTCACAGCACTCTCACACGCTGATGGCAGCTTAGAATAGATATCCATTATGGTCCGAGGGTCCCTGTGATAAGCACAAAAACGTCTTGCGCACACACCAGGACCCAGCTCTGATGAACAGGAGCACTAGTGCTGGCTGAATAATAGAATGAGGCATGAAAATTTCAGCAGTTTGAAAAGGGATACACTCCTCTCTCTGTGACCTCCTACCTCTTATTTCCCGAACGATCGAGCTCTGCACTGACACCCTCTCTGCCGCTGACTGAGTGTGTGCTAATGTGTGGGTGTGTATGTGTGTGAGAGAGGGAGGGAGAACTGAGGGAGGGGGAAGGGCTTGTGCAATCATATACAATACACTGATCCCTGCTCTGTGTGTGTTTGCGCGAGATAATGATCAGCCCATGTGACTCAGTGTTGCAGGAATCTCGGCCCCCAGCCAACTGTACCTGCTGCACCACTGAGACATGCACACGTGAAGAGACAGCTCGTGTCTCCCACACACATCTCAATGATTTATTGATGTCTGTATTTATAGACTGCAACCATGAAAGTGCATTTGTTAGACCGTCTGACCAGAAAACACACAAAGTGATGATGACACACAGTGAGTGACAAGAGGAAGAAAATTACTTTATAAGAACTGGAGCTGCTAATTTGGGCTGTTTTCACAGGGGAGCCGACCTAAATCACAAGTGTTTACTTTAAGGCAGAGCATCGCTCTGCCTACGCAGGCTTCTGGTTCGGTAACACGTCATTCAACTGCTGCATGAAGGCTTCATAAGCAGCATGTATATTTAGGGCCTGAGCACGACTGTGCGAGGTCCCTATTGAATTTGCTAAGATTATTATTAGGGCCTGAGCACGACCATGCAAGGTCCCTATTGAATTTGTAAAGATTATATATTTAGGGCCCGAGCACGACCGTGCGGGGTCCCTATTGAATTTGTAAAGATTATTAGGGCCCGAGCACGACTGTGCAAGGTCCCTATTGAATTTGCTAAGATTATTATTAGGGCCTGAGCACGACCATGCAAGGTCCCTATTGAATTTGTAAAGATTATATATTTAGGGCCCGAGCACGACCGTGCGGGGTCCCTATTGAATTTGTAAAGATTATTAGGGCCCGAGCACGACCGTGCGAGGTCCCTATTAAGATTATATATATATATATATATATATATATATATATATATTTTTTTTTTTTTTTTTTTTTTCTGCAAAGTAAGCTCCATTTTGGGGACCTTATGGGTTTCGCGCATGGGTGTGGCAAAATGACTCGCTAGCGCCACCTAGAAAATTGGAAAAAATTAGCCCCTCGTTCACGTTCAACCTACATGCACGAAATTTTCTGGGGACATGTATCATATCAAGATGCACAAAAAAGCCTCAAGAACCCATACCCTAAAGTCAACAGTAAGTCGGCCATTTTGAATTTTACGGCCATTTTTGGATGATTTACACACTTCGTACTTTAACGAACTCCTCCTAGGGATTTCGTTGGATCGACGTCAAATTTCTGCTGTGCCTTCTAAAGGCATTGACGATGAAAAGTTGTGCTATTTGTGAGTTTTCGTCAATGGGTGTGTCTGTGGCGTCGATGATTCGCCATGAAACAGGAAGTTGTTGTAACTTCAGTGTACATGCTCACATCTGCACCAAACTGTACATGTAGGATGAGAGTCCCGCCCTGAACACATGTACATGCCGACATTCACCCACAATCATGGCGTCACCTGCTGGCAACAGTAATTGACCTTTTATATATATATATATATATATATATATATATATATAATATATAAAAACTTAGTCCCAGTTGGACGCCAGCACCTTTTACTGGCCGGGTTGGATACATATTTTGACAAGTAAATGCAGGTCTCAATTAGAAGCCCAGTCTAGTTTTTATATAAGTTCCCCTTCGAGGGAACTCGAACTGCGTCCGTTACAACACTATGGGAACGCCTCTAGGCGTAGCAGGTCTGAACGTGAATGAAATCACTCCAATCCTATTGGCTTGTTGCTACGGTAAGGTGTGACGGAATAACTGGAGGAGTATAAAGCACACCTGTACACACTCATCACTTTTTTCTATTCAGCAGGCGCTCTGTATGTTGTTTGAAGAAAGCTCCAGTCCTACAAGCAGTGTGTCTTACCTGAAGAAGAAGTCTACCAGCATGTCCGGCAACCAGATGTACAGAAGGTGTGTTTTTTTCTTGCCCTCGGTACATCACGGATGGAGATTCTCATGAGATGTGTGTCTCATGTTTGGGGATGGAGCACGCCCGGGCAGCTCTCGAGGGGGCTGCCTGCGCCCATTGCGAAGCCCTTTCCGTGCGGGTACTGAGGTACAGCATGGCTCTCTTTTCCGAGGATGGCCGGATGTGTTCTCCCCGTGGTGTGGGCCCTGCGGCCGCTGAGGCGGCCCGGCGGCTTCACTCATGGGGTTCACAGCGTGATCTGTCGGAGGATTTCGGGACGGCTGAGGCTTTTTTCCGACCTTCATCATGACGCTTCCTTTCCTCGTTCGGGAGCCTGTTCTCGGCTTCCCCCGCTCGCGGTTTGGATCCGGAGACGCTGCAGCAATCCGACTCCGAGGAGGCGGACGTGCTCAGCGTAGTGGACGATGACTTCCGGGTGTCGGGGCGGCGTCATCTGGTGGCAGCAGACACCACAGGCTAGTGGTAAGCTTGATGAAAGGTTTCTTGAGCACCACGCGCCACCTCCACGCCGGTCTCTGCCATTCTTTCCTGATTTACATGATAAACTGAGTAATCATGGGGCAGACCCTTCTCTACACGGCTTTCCACACCCCTATCACTGAATTACAGTAATGTGATGGGGGTTAGGGACCGTGGTTATGGGAGGATGCCTCGGGTGGAGGATGCGCTTGCGAGCTCTCTCTCCCCTCGACTTGCGTCCTCCCTGGAGAAGCCGGCGTTACCCTCCAAGCCATGTTGCACCACATCTACGCTCGTGGGGAAGGCGTACATGGCAGCGGGTCAGGCAGGTACGAGCTTGCACACCATGGCGGTGCTTCAAGCCGACCTGCTACAGGAGATGGTTCAGAGGGGGGGGTCCATCTGAGGAAGATCTGGCGGAGCTTCACAGAACCATGGAGCGTTAGACGCAGGGCGAAGCGTTCCGCCAGTACCTCCCTCGCCGGTCTGGACCCAAGGCAGCTGAGGCTGCCAGGCGTAGGTCCCTTCCCTCTACGAGCTCCTACGGAGAGGAGAGGAAGCAGAGTGTCACTTCTCGGCGGCTCTCCCCTGCCGTTCTGGGGCTTCAGGGGTCCACCAGAAGATCACACGAGACACCGACCACCGTTGGCAGACTTTGCAGAGGCTTGGCGGAGCCTGACAAACATTTCTCCGTGGGTCCTGCGCACTGCCATACATGGGTTTCGACTACAGTTCAAAACCCGCCCTCCAAAATTCAACGGGGTGGTTTGGACTGTGGTCCGCCCGGAGCAAGGTCCGGTGTTGGGACAGGAAGTTCGTACTCTGCTGAGGAAAGGGGCCGTGGAACGTGTCTCCTCCCCAGACAGAGACGCCGGTTCTACAGCCGGTACTTCATAGTCCCCAAGAAGGATGGAGGGCTGTGTCCTATTTTGGATCTGCGGGTTCTAACTGGTCTCTGAGGAGATTCAGGTTCAAGATGCTCATCATCCCCGCCATCGTGACGCACATCCAATCCGAGGATTGGTTTGTCATGATAGATCTAAAGGACGCCTATTTCCACGTCTCCATCCGTCCTTCTCACAGGAAGTTCCTGAGGTTCGCCTTCGGGGGTGTGGCTTACCAGTATCGGGTTCTTCCATTCGGCCTGGCACTTTCCCCTCGCACATTCACCAAGTGTATGGATGCAGCACTGGCCCCGCTGAGGCTCCAGGGCGTCCGGATTTCAACTACATCGATGACTGGCTCATCCTAGCCCAGTCTCGAGAGTTGGCGGTTCGGCATCGAGATGTTGTTCTGGCTCATCTGCGGCGTTTAGGGCTGAGGCTCAACGCAAAGAAGAGCGTGCTGGCGCCCACCCAATGGACTACGTTCCTAGGGGTAGTATGGGATTCGACAACGATGCGGGCACAATTGTCTCCGGCACGTGTCGACACCATATTGGCTGCCGTGAAAGGGGTGAAGTTAGGCCATGCCATCACTATAAAACACTTTCAATGAGTGTTGGGTCTCCTGGCGGCTGCATCCAGCGTAATACCATCTGGACTGCTGCATATGAGACCCCTGTAGTGGTGGCTAAGGACCAAGGGTTTTTCCCAGAGGGGAAATCCTCTCCGTCTGATTTGGGTCTTGTCGCCGGCTGGTCATTTCGACAGACGCCTCCCTCACGGGCTGGTGCGCGGTCATGGACGGCTGCTTTGCAAGGGGATCCTGGCAGGTGCATCAATCCTGTCTCGAGATGTTGGCGGTGTCGCCGTTCCAGGCTCTAAGGAGTTTCCTGCCCGATCTCCAAGGCCACCACGTACTTGTACTTGTAAATGCTCCGTACTTGTATAGCGCCTTTCTAGTCTTTTCACTACATCTGCAGTCACACACATTCATACACTGAGCCTAAGTACTCAAAGGGAAACTAACATTCACACTCACTCATACACTGGCGGAATATTTAATATATATATACAATTCGGGGTTCAGTATCTAGCCCAAGGACATTTCGACATGCAACCAGGGGGAGCCAGGGATTGAACCGCCGACCTTCCGATTAACGGCCAACCCGCTCTACCTCCTGAGCCACAGCCGCCCCAGGTGGTGGCCTATCTGAATCACCAGGGCGGTCTGCGCTCGCGCCCTCTGTACAGACTGGCGCTTCAGATCCTCCTGTGGTCCCAGCAGAGGTTACTATCGCTCAGGGCGATGTATCTCCCGGGGACGCAGAATCAGGGAGCAGACCTGCTGTCGAGGCAGGGGCTGAGGCCCGGGGAATGGAGACTTCACCCCGAAGTGGTGGAGCTCTTGTGCGAAGAGTTCGGCCCCATAGACGTGGATCTGTTTGCGTCTCAAGAGACTACGCACTGCCCACTATGGTTTTCTCTCGTTCCTCCAGCCCCGTTGGGTCTGGACGCCATGGTACATTCGTGGACGAGGCTACATCTGTACACTTTTCCCCCAGTCGCTCTGCTCCCGGGGGTTCTGGAGCGGGTCTGCCAGGACAATGTCGGCCTACTGCTCGTAGCCCCGTTCTGGCCAACC